CAGATCTGCCTCCTCCGTCTTTTGGCTGGTAATTATTGGCCGGTGTTGCAGATAGGTCTTTTGGTTTTGGGTTACTTGTGTTTGGTGCGTGGTGCCATTCGGGAATTGTAGAACCTTGATATTATGGTCCACAAAGTTCAGTTAAGTTTTGGTTCTGTTTCTAATGTCACTGTCGTCAGTGTCAGGGCAAGGGCACATGAGCAAAGTCCGAGGTTTCTGCTGTGATGTGTCGCAACGGAAGCGTACTCCAGGGGGGTGCGACCACAGAAACATCCTAGACTCCTAGATCCTTTTGATTGAACGACGGCATTCGGGTGCCCTTGCAGCCTCAGCACAGTCGACCTTCCCAAGAAGCAAAAAGACTCCGAAGTCATTTTAAAACAGCGGCAGAGACACAACCAACATGCACGGCACACGCACACGCGCACGCACTCACGCACACACGCACGCACGCACCCACGCACTGAACGCACGCACGCACTCACGCACGTACCCACCCACGCACGCGCACATGCGCACACACACACACAGACATAAGGCCTGTATCCTCAAAATTCAGAGCGGCAACCTGACCTGCGAAGCAGTTAGAGTCTGACCTTCTGCCTCGCTGGAGGCCGCCTGTGCAGCGCAAGCAGAGACAGTCCGTGTCTGCAGAGGTCACTCGCGACCAGAGTTTAGGCTTCGGAGCTGACTCGTGCTTGCTGCCTGCATCATGATATTGGCAGTCTATCTGCACGTGCTGATGACGATGTTGGTCACCACTACTGTACTACTGTTGCTGCGTTGCTTCTCCTATTACTACCACTGCTGCCACTATTGCCACTGCTACGACTACTACTACCACCACTACTATACTTACTACTACCACATCCACAACAACAACAACTACTACTACGACGACGACGACTACTACGACTACAACTACGACTACGACTACGACTACGACTACGACTACGACTACTACTACTACTACTACTACTACTCCTGCTGCTACTACTACGACTACTCCTGCTGCTACTACTACTACTACTGCTATTACTACTGCCCACTTCTACCCTCGCTGCTTCCACCACTACAATAACGTGGACGACGACAACGCCAACAACACTGCTGCTTCTCCTACTCCTTCTCCTCCGACTGCTGCTCGTACTACTACTTTTCCAAGCTGCTCCTGCTCTTACCCCTTCTCCTACTCCTACTCTTGCTCTTACTGCCGTTGTTATTGCCTCTGCTACCTTGATCCTCATGATGAGCTTCATGCAGGTTGGGGCACTCTGTGAGAGGTTTTAGACTCAGGGGAAACAGTCACGACAGTAAGCAAGGGTGCAAACGGTTCACTGAATTGGAGACTGTTACGGTTGGCTTCAACGCCTTGTAAAATATGTGAAATCAAACATTAGGGGATACCAGCCTAAAGAGCAAGACCAAGGTTTCGCGATAGGTTGCAGATTGTTGCATGGCTCTATAGGGCCAACAGTTGTGGTGACTATTTCGTCAGACCTCTATGCAACTTGATGCGTGCAGTGGTAACCTCGTGGAAAATCATAGGTTTTGCAGCCGATGATGAGGGCACACACGTTGCCTTCAGACTCGGGGCATCAGCGAGAGAGAGAGAGAGAGAGAGAGAGCGACTTCAGTCATTGGCGTATCTATCTATGCTCATTCCGCACTCCCCTTACCCCGTTTAACAGCATCGGGTGGGCATTTTTGCCTATGAGAGAGAGAGAGAGAGAGAGAGAGCGAGAGAATGATACTGGCAGCAACCCGATTTAACCACCACCAATCTCACGCCCCCAAATGCCAGGCTCTCGTTGTGCTTTTGGGACGTTGGCCTGTCGCGTTTCAGCATACCCACTCCCCTGCTTTTCGAAGACGTTCGGAGTGTCCGGCATTGCCGAAAGCTCAACCACCAAAAGTTGATAAAGCTCGGAACCACATCGGCAATAAGGCCTATGGCGCCTTCAACGAGCGCAAGGCCTATGAGCCCAAGGTCATTCCCAAGGACCTTGGGTGCAGGCTTTGAGCTTTCGTCCTGCTATGATTCGTACTATTATCAGTGTTCTTGGTAGTAGTAATTATTTGTTCATGTTACCTGTGTCGAGCAGGTTTCTTGGCTTCGGACTTGGGTTCCTTGATTACGGGGTTCGAGACGAGGAAGTACCCAATGCCGGCCACAAGCCGGATAAACCCCTCCCCTCACACTTCAACGAGCCGTGACCCATGCCCGACTTGAATGTAAAAGCCTAAACCACTAGAAGCAATTCCAAAAATCGCTATGCGAAGCCCCACACTTCCCGACACGAACCCCAAATCCCATTCGTGGTTTCGGGGTTTGCAGGACCAGTCTCAGAAGGATCGTTTAGAGAAGGTCCTGCAGCAGTGTTGGATGCACCTCGGCTTTGGCTGGCCTGGGCCGGACCCAGAGGGCCCAATACCCCTTAATTAAGGAATATTGAATATACCTTAAATTATAGGGGCCTTAATATTGAGATTTAAGGTATATTCCTTACTTAAGGGGTATTGGGCTCTCTGGGGACTGCATGTTCAAAGGGCACAGCCACTTGAGGTTTCTGGATATGGGCGCTGCACATCAATACCTTTCGAGAATAGAGGGTTTCAGATAACACAAAGTGACCCGGGCTCTAAGCCAGTCTAAGGAGCCTTCTGTGTCAGTGCGAGCTGGTGGAGCTAGCAAAACGCCAAAGCCTTTCTCCTGTGAATGTTGCCGGTACTTTACATTTTTGGACGCACTTCGGATTTCTGCTTTGCTTCCCTTTCTGACATGTGCATCCCGGCCCCTGTGATTGTTTTGGATACACAATCCGCCGGCATCTTCGATGCCAATCTAACCATGAGTGGTGTCTTGAGCGACAGTTAGACGAGGCCCTGCCGTTTACCGATTTTGTACTGCTATCATCGAGCCAGTCCTTGCTGGCATCTGCATTGTATCCGTATAGATGTTCCTAACACAGGTACAGCAAAAATCAAGCCTAATCATGGATGGGACCCTCTAAGCGCTGAAAGTCAGGTTCAAGCATCACACGCCCGAGAACTTAAAGATCATCTTGGATGCGATGCAGGAGAAGGTGGACCTGTCTCCAAAGTTCGCTTTCCTTGCCCGGGAGAGTTCCAGCGTGTCATTTGTAGCAGTAGACTTATACTGCACTGTGCCCCCCCAATTACCGTGTTCGCATTCAGCCGATGTAGTTGTTACGAACCATCAACGAAGCAGCTCCTGCACCACAGATTCGCATAAAGCCTGCCATCATTGCTACTGTGTTGCCCCACAGAGTTCAGGTTTAAGGACTAAGGATTTAGGGGTGTTTAGGGCTTTAGGATTTCGGGGCTTATCCGATGAGAAGAATTGGTATGAGCTTACAGCATCTGACGAGGCTTCGCACCTTGCACCCTGCGGGTGCCTTCGATAGCGCCGGGTTCAGCCCATGAGGTGATTCTGAGCAACCCAAAACTGAGGAGTCCCTAAGCCAGGCCACTTAGGACAGAAGCAGGGCTCTGTAAGGTGTAATATAGGCGATTGCAATATGATAGCCATCACGTACAAACAGGCGGGGGTAGTTTGGGCGTTCAGTTGCCTCAGCTGAGGGGAACAGAGGTCTCGGAGCAAGATTGAGGATACTGTAGGCAGAGGCGCGCAATAGTCTATATCGGGGTGCGGCTGTGGTCCAAGTCGGGCTCCTCCAACCAGCATGACGCTCAGAAATAACCGGAGTCGCTCAAGCTGTTTGAATGCAAAGCTTTGTCATTCCCCACCAGCTGCTTCAAGGTGGTGGAAAGTGGCACGCGTCTTATTCAGCAAGGTGGCTCATGGGAGCGTGCTTCAGGAACTGACAAAGCACGTCAGCATTTGGTGTTACAGCTTGGCTAGTATGTCTAGCTCTAGCACTACAGCCCTGCTTGCTAAGTCTGCTAAGTTTTGACTTAATATGATTTACCTGGAACGGTGCATGCAACAACCGATATGGTATAGATTAGTGACAGTACACATACTACGTTACTACGTGTTCCTTTTTCGTGAAATCGCAGTCGAGCCACGCCATAGCATCCTAAGACCGTGTCGAAGAGAAAACTGTATCTAGCAGAAGACCCTGACACGTGAATAGACACAGCTCGGTCAAGAAGAGCGGACAGCGAGTTCAGCTGTTGCATGCTAGCGGCGATGCTATAGTGCAAGCCCACAGCATCGAACGCCCAGACGATTCGCTTCTGCTTTTCGGGAGGGATCTGGGGCCCCCTGCCAAGACGCCTGAACGCAGCTAACGCTTCAAGACTGCACGAGAGGATTTCATTGGGGCCCTGACAAAAAAACCAGCTGTTCGGCTACAAGGAGTCGTGCTCAAGTTTACCAGGGGAGTTTCAGATCTGGCTTTTTTTACATCCGGACCGGACAGGTGATGAGGGCGAGGTCATGTGGGTGATCGAGGAGGGGGAGCTCGAATGCTTCAAGAAAATCGGTGACGAGGACAGGTTTCCCCTGGGCCTTGGACGAGTTTTGGTCTCGAACGAGCGCCGAAGTAATTACTTTGACATGTCTCTTCCTTTCCCGACCTGCAGCTAGAGACTGTAGCTGCCTGAAGTGAGGCGCAATCCCTAAACCCTAAACGCCTAAACCCCAAACCCTAAACCCTAAACCATTGGGGTTTAGGGTTGTTTTGGGAGGCAAAAAATCCCTAAACCCTAATGGTCCGAAACCTTCGATCCCCTGGGGCCCAGGACCCGGTTGGGTCGCTGTGTATTCCTGAGACAGGTCTTAGGAGCCTTTATTGCCAGCACCACTCTGTGTGTGTGCTTTAGGAATCTTTTTTCTGTTTTAGCAATGAGTATACTATACCTTCATTAGAAATTAGCATACTATACCTTCAATTGTCTAGCAAACATGTGAACTACTAGCTCTTTTGTCGGATGCAAGGGGCATATACGTAGTTCTTGTCTGCAACCAGTGGAGGCTCTTGTAGTACGACGCTGCAACAAAGTATGCCATGGTGCATCCTACGAAGACCTGTTTGAGAACATGTAAGGTGCCGCGTGAACAAGCTCTGTCCAAAGACTGGTTGCTTCTTAAGTCTCGGAATTCAAGTTACCGTAAGAAAGGAAACCATAAAGCTTGCTTACTCAAATGTTCTCCATGGTATCTCAAACTCAAAGTCCCTACCAAAAAGCCCAGCACAAGCTTCAGTACCCGGTGCCCTCGGCGATGGTTCAGAGTGACACTCGAACAGCCATTGTTGGTTCAGGGTGAATCTTGCGAGGAGAAATCTGTGAAGAAGTGCTCCCGCGGGGACGTCTTCGGGGAGCTTGCGCCCTCCGGCTTTGCACACTGAGCGACGTTTTGGGGTGAATGGGTCCTTTGGTGGTAAATGCGTCCCCCCCCAGGGAAATACAAGGCCAACCATGAGGCTTTACACACTATACGGGCTTGAATTAAAGTGCAACTACAACAGTAAGCTGCCGCATCCAGATCCGGCCCATATTGCTAGCGCGTGGAGAGGGAGGGAGTACGGGCCACCAGCAATCAGAAGTCATTAGGGCGCGCCTTGTTATAATTGTAGCAGAATATACTTGAAAACCTTATTCTAATCACAAAGTCCTCGCCGAAAGAGCACTGAGCTGTATTCTTTGGAGAACTGGATTGCAGGGAAGCATAAGCCCGCACCTCTTAGAGGGTCCAACAAATGGAGCCCTTGACAAATGCCCTACATCGCCCAAACGACTGTTCGGCCACCCTTTTTTGTGGTTCTATTCTGTGAGTCCCGTGAAAGGGGATTTCAAAAAGGCCTTGCGCATCCGTCCACTGCGGTCCTTGGAGCATAGAACGGAAGACAGCGAGGCGGCAGGATCCAAGGAACCCACCTCTCTTTTGACTCGGTACATGCTCGTTAGTTAAGAGATGTTGGGAGTCCTAAACCCCTAAACCCTAGACCCCTAAACCCTAAACCCGTCTTTGTGTGCATGCGAGCCCTGGTCGATTGTTCGGGCTCCTGAGTGACGATGACGGGCTCCAAAACCTGGCACCACCCTCATCCCGAAGCCGCCCCTATACTGACCCGGAGCCGAGCAACACCTTGAACCCTTCGAGCCAGCCCCAAAAAAGGACACCAAATTCTGAATCCCAGCTCTAAGAATTCAGACGGCTCTTGAAAACAGAGAGAACAAACAGCGCAACCCGGCTCTAGAATCTGAGCCCTTCACCTTGGGCCCTGCAGCACGACCCAGCTAAGCGGGTGTGAACAACTGCCCTAATATAGCGGCCTTAATTATTGGGCAGGGTTTTGGGGCATCTTCTACTATAGGTATAACAGACAAGGATTTCTCAAAATAGTGTTGGTAATGTAGGTAGTTGGGCCCCTATATGGGCAGGTTTCTAAATCAGCGTCCCTTTTGAGGTCCCCAATATGGTACGGCACCCTTATAAAAAGGCCCTTAAAAGGCACACTAATTTAGAGAGCTACCCATATTACACCCTCTAAGCTCGAGGCTCCTGTACAACTGCCGGCGTGCTGCTTCTGTGGTCGCCTCGCAGCGACCGGGCTGGTCTTTTGATGCTCTTGAAGGGTTTATCAAGATAATCCAGACAATTTAATGGTTTGGGTTTAGGGTTTAGGGGGTGAGAGCAAGAATATTCATAGTGATAGGGGGCTTAGGGATTGTCTCTCTGCCTGCCTGCCTGCCTGCCTGCCTGCTCAGGGATTACGAAACTAGACATTTGGGGTTTCGGGTTTCTGTAAGAACAGTTGGTTCGGTGCGTAAGGGTTTCGGGTTAGGCAGGTTGTGGCCTCCGGCTCCGACCTCAGGGGGTCGAGCTCTCAAGCCTTCAGGCTGCGGGGGGGGTGGGTTTGGTGATCGCTGATCTACTTCGAGCTTGCTTTAGATCCTGCAGCCTCGGTGTCTGCGGCTTTGAATTCCTAAGCCCGAGGCTCAAAAGCCGGAGAAGCCTTTCTTTTTGTGGATCTCTGCTTCAGTTTGCAAGGAGACAGTCTGAGCAGAGGGTTGAGAGTGTGCTTTAGGGTTTGGGACTGGTGCCTGTCATGGAATGTTCCCTTGAAGATCGAGGCCTAAGTCGGGAGGGCACGCGGTGGCTCTGGTTTTTGGGGTTTAACCCTCGACCCTTTGAAACCGGAGAAGACCTGTCGCAAGAAGGACTATTATCCGCTTAGAGTCCCTATTTGAGTTCATATGAGCGCTCATATGCCTTACAACGCTGTTCTAACCACGGAGGCCCCCTGTAGGAGCCACAAGGAAGCGTGGTTTCCCTGTGGACCGGCACTCCCAACCCTAAACCCAAGATGCAAAAAACCGAGCAGAGTGCCCAGGAAGAGTGTCCTTTGGGAGCTGGATCGCGAAACCTTCAAGGCCATCTGCTACGAGGCAGCGCAGAAGGCCTGGACTCCCGGGTTTAGGGTTTAGGGCCCCACAAAAAAAAGGAAAATAGTTATACATAAATAATCAGAAAAATAAATAGATATAAATATAAATATAAATATAAATATACAAATATAAATATAAACATAAATAATAAATAAATCAAGAAATAAATAAACACACACATATATATATATATAATCGAAGCCCTGCAGCTGACATGAGAACCTGGGCCTGAACCATGAGGACAGGGTCTCTGGGGTAATACCAAGGTTTATGCAAAAAAAAGAGTTTTGCTGATTGGCAGAGCCTGGGTTCACAAAAAAAGGGGTACTCTAAGGACACCCGGCCAGCGTCAGAGACCTGGGTGCGAAGTATACTAGATAATCATATGTAGGGACTAACCCTAAACCCTAAACATTCTACATCACAAGGGCACACCGGGACGCGTCTTTCAGTTTCCCAGGTTCAGGATCCTGGTCTGCTGGTCTTCGGTTCTGGTTTGAGCCCGGAAGCAGGGCGCTTCTTCTGGGGCTTCCAAAACCCTTCAGGCTTTGAGCCCTAAAGCCTTATATAACCCTGAACCCTGAAGCCTTATAGACCCTGAACCCTGAACTCTAAGCCCAAGCTCTCAGCCCGACGAAGCTCCCCAAGTGAAGACTTGTGATGAACAGAGCTCGGACTGCGGTAGAAGTCGAAAGGCTGAGGCTGTAATCAAGCCGCGCTGGCAGTCTAGACATGTCTAGGCCTCATTAGACCAAACATTGTGATTTTTTGTTTTTAGGGTTTAGGGTTTAGGGTTTTTTTCGTAGGGAAGTGCAGAGAGTGCGAGCGAGGGAAACCCTCGCCCCTAGATCAACCCCAAAGCAAGAACCACTTCAGACCCATACATATGTCTGTGTGCATGTATGTGTGTATGTATGTACGTAAGTAAGTAAGTAAGTAAGTAAGTAAGTAATTAAGTATGTATGTATGTATGTATGTATGTATGTATGTATGTATGTATTTCTATGTATGTATATTACTGATTGGTTGATTGATTGACTGATTGCTGAACTAGCTAATCACTTGATCAACTGAGCAATTATTGTTTCGGCAGCAAAACTGGAAGACGTATTGCAACCATAATCTACTTTAAGTTACCATTTCGAAGGGAAGCCATATATTCAGATCCCCACTATGATGAGGCACCGCCGGAGTATGAGGGCTTCTCTGCGCCGGGGGGAGCCGCTTCTTCGGCTGCAGCTCCGGCAGTTGCAGAGGCTCCGAAGGAGCCACCAAAGGAGGAGCGAGCCGCTTCCAAGGAGGACGTGGTTTGGGCACGGGGGGAAGTGGGGAAGGCTTTGGGGTTTTGGGATTGAAGGGTGTTTTTGGAAACTTGCCTGGGTTCAATACCTGTGTTAAGATGGGGGGGACCGGGGCCGAGCGGAAATTTCTCGAACAATGAACCAATCCGCCGCCGGAGGCACCATCTTTTGGCCTAAGCAGGACTACGAGCCAAGGGCCACCATTACATGTGCATGGTGTTGATGTTGAAGCAGAGACACAAAAACCAAGCTCTTACAATGGGAGGCATGATTGTTGGGAGAGCGTGAACCATGGTGCCATGGGAGGCAAAAAAACCTCAAACCAAACAAACCCCAAACACGAGGCCGTAGGATCCTAAGACAAATCGCAAGGCACAACTTAATTAAGTTTCACAAGTCTCTTGGGTTTAGCGTAAGTAAGCTAAACGAAGAGACTTGTGAAACTAAGCCCACTCAGAAAACTGCGGCCTGTGGCTATTTGAGTGCAGGTAGTGTTTGTGTTCGTGAGCTGGCCTCTTCCAGGCCCGGAGCCTAGGAAACCCGACCAGCTAATATAGAGGCCTCAACAATTTCCTATATTATTTTGGGGGCTACTTATTGTAATTATACTATAAGGGACCCCCCCCCCCCAAAGCCCTATTCTAATTATTAAGGCCGGTAGATTATTTTCATTCGCTGCCAACAGATCCAGACCCTACAAGCCTATACCCACAACTCCAAAGCCACTTCAAGCAGGCCACAGACGGCCTTGAACCCCCTAAAGCCTGTAAAGCCGTATACAGAAAAAAAATATCTAACCAGCCTTATTATTATTAAGCCCCAACTAAGCAACACACTCGCTTAAACTCCTGCAATGTGGGCTCGTCCTATCTACGTGGGAGTCAGAAAAAAAAGAGCACTGCAGGCCCATGGCTCTTCAAGCCTTGTGGATGCCTGCTAAGGCCCCTATGAAACCCTCTAAGCCGCGTTAGACGTCCAAACCGGAACGCCATTTCAAGGACCCTTGGAGAACCCTTAGTAGTGCCCTTGCTCATGCCCATGAGGAGTACGCATTTAAAGTAACGTTTTCAGTAGCCCAGAGAGTCCTTAAAAGGATGGTGCAGACTCCGACAGCGATCCGGGGGACACAGCCGAGTCGGTTCCCATCCAGCAGGTGGGACACAGCGGGGATAAGCGAGGACCCCGGCCCCCCTCCCCAGACCAAAAAATTTCAGCAACACCAGCTTATTATGCTCCTTTTGGTTTAGGTTTTAGGTTTTTTTGGGCGTTAGGGTTTCGGTGCTTCGGGATATGCAATTGTAGTACTTGTAGGTATAGCAAGTCTAGCTTTGGCGCTTTGGGAATACTATGCATCTTATTTCCTAGCTGGGTTGTTTAAGTTTGGAAGTTGCTCATGTAATTTTGCATCTATTTTTGGGGCTTATGGCTTTCTGGCTAGAATCAAAGATAGTTCTATCCGAATGTCTTGTACCCGTAGGATGAAGTGAGTACCTCATTCAGGGCTCCTGAATTAAGATCCTTTGTGGGTCCACTTCAGGGGTTCCTTAATGAAACTCCCAGATTCTCCTGGGTTTAGGTTTGAGGGTTGGGGGATTCCGAGTTGAGGGACCGAGAAGAAGTATACCGGTTCAGTGTCACTGTCGGGCTAGAAACCTTTGCCTTCCGGTTTTTCGGAAATCTATCGTGTGTTGTTCGACATGGCCGGTATGCAGGGTTTAGCCTAGGTGTCTTTGGAGGGCTGTCCTGAGGATTCTCTGCGTTTAAGGCTGGTTTGAATGTGTTCACTTCAGGTTCTGTGGGTCATGGTGGGTGTAGACAAGCAGGTCTTGCCTGGAGATCCGAAACCAGAACCAGAGTACTGTCGGGATGAAAGGGGGTGCTTCGTGTTTCTGTACATAGGAGGAGCTATTGAGGCCCATTTGTTGCTGGGGCCTGCAGGGCCCAAACCGAAAGCCCGAAACCTTGAACCGCGAAACCCTTAGCCCTTGAGCCTCACGGCTCGAAAGCCGAAATCAACCCAGCAACCCGAAGCCTGAGCCCCAAACCACAAACACAGGGTGAACAAAAAAAAGCACAACCACACAAAGCCATGTCCTCCAAACAGGTAAAGAGGCCGGTGGGCCGTCGTACTGGCGTTAGTGCTGAGGCGACAAAGGGCGGTGAGGACCGAGCAGCGGTCTAAGTGAGGGTTTAGAGGGGGCAAGCGTTGAGAGCTTCGAGGCCTAGTTTGAAGAGCTTCGGGGGTTTGGGAGGTGCGCGATTTGAGTGTGTCCTTATTCCTGATGCTTTGTTTGGCGCAGCTTGAACCCCTGCAGGCAATGGGGGAGAGAAACCGGGAGAGAGAGAGGGAGAGAGAAAGATCGGATCTCTAACAGCTCAATCGGGTGGGCCTGTGGCTTGGGAGAGAGAGAGAGAGTCCGGGGGACATTATACTGAAGTTGTAGAAGCATGTAAGGCTGTAAGGGGCATGTTGTCACCCGTGGTATATGAGAAAACTGAATATGCGTGTATGTATGTCCGCCCGTTCCTCCCATTTATATTCATTTAGAGGCAGAGAGGAAGCCCACCCAAACTGAACAGCTTTCACAGATCCCGTATCACACGGTCAATGTATTTTGTGCTTGCTGCCCGTGTTTGTTCTGACTACCTGCAGAACAAGATGACAACGAGGACCGTAATTGGAGCCTGCTGCAAGTGCTGCTGCTCTTTGTCCTCTTGCTGGCAGTTGCTGGCAGCTACTACTTCCACAATGTAGCGTTGCAGAGGTAGTGCCGCTTGCCACCAGCCATTTTTCCTTTTACTTTTGCTGACCTGTTCCTTTTCTAAAACCTTATTGCCGTGGCTGGTTATGCGGTAGACCTAATGTGAGTGCTGGCGCCGGCGGATAAGCCCTAGAATCGCATTAGCCCCAAACCCTGCTAGGTTGGGCTTGTCTGAGGGAAAAGGAAGTTGCGGCTTCGGGTTGGCATTTGATATGCTTGGCTTGACACTCCCTGGTCCCTGTTGCATGGATCTTGCAGTTTACCCAGTACCAATATCTTAATGATAATGTACAATCCGCATTTCTTCAGTCGCAATGTTTTGGGATTTTCTTGTAATACGCATCAAGGATTTCCGCGTTGATGCAGCAGTGTGACATGCCATCGCTGAAAAACTCGTAACCCGCAGAGCGCCGTCGCCCTTAAGTAGGCGACATACCCTTAACTAAATTTTCCGGGTCAATAATTTCAGATACATATTCAACATGTTTTGGAACCGAACCCTTGTCTCATGTTTTGTCGGGCAGGACAGCTGGACTCCACCTGTGTCACCCGGATCAATCGCGACAGCCGATCGTTTCCGTAGCCAGGGCGGGGCTCAGGGGTATGCGGTCTTCTGGTGTCTTAATTGAGATTTGTGCAACTTCAGGCATCTGACAGTCGAAAAGTTGAGCCTTGAGACGCTGAGGTACGAGAAGACGGCAGAGGAGCGCGCGTCCCTGTCGGAAATCATCAAATCCTCTCGTGACAGAAACCCGGCGGGGTTTTGCCCTTGTTTTTCGGCTTGGGATCGCAAGGAGGTCCCGCAATTCAACTCTTATCATTAGTGTTGACTCAGAAGTGGGAAAGCGTTTCAGCTTTATCGGTTCCAAGCAAGGACTGCTGAGCGAGCCTGTGGCCGGGAAGGGTAGGAGCTCTAGGTTTTGTATGGGCCCAGGCAAGATTCACATGCTCTTTGGCACAGTGAACCAGAAGACATTCGAGACTCGACTGCACTGTTGTGACGCCGTCGCAGGCGTCATGGTGTGAGTCTTTCGTGTTGACGCATCTTGAATACTCTTCGTCACTGGCCGCTGCCCCTTCAGATTGGTTTAGGGATCAGCCTCACCATTGAAGGAAATGATCCTGGATGCCATGTTCATCAAAAAGATCAACAAAGGCCCTGCAAGCGCTTCATCCTTCCAAGATCACACTGGTCTTGGTTTAAGCTTGCTGCGACGTAATGGTTCATGACAGGCTTTCTTGGCTACTTAGCTGGACCTCTAAAGCCCTGAGAAAGAGCCATCCTGTATCAGAATATCTGATCAGTCCAGCCCCACTCAGTGAGAGGCTGCATACAAGAGAGCAGTAGATTGCTGTAGGGTTTTGGGTTTGCGGCGTAACGGCTCTAGCGATTTGCCCGTCAGGGGTTGAGCACAACTTCCGTCGACAGCATGATTCAACACAAAGGGGCTGAGCATAGTGCAACTCCTCTTCATTTCGTTCTATCGGTGCAGCTACCTCATGTTGTGTCAAGCGCGGCATTCAGCAAAGACTTTGGGTCGAGACTTTGTCAGAAGCGATCTTATGGGTTCAGGGGTAAGTGTGGAGGGTTGGGTGAGCAACTTTAGATTTATGGACCTTGTTTGTGTCGCCTGCGACTTACTTCTCGTGCGCGGGGCGAAGTCGGTGCTGTGAATGTGTGTTCCACCGAAACAGTCCATCCAGAAAGGCGGGTTCCACAAATTAAGGGACTCCTATTCTAGACAGTAGCCCTCAAACCTAAGCCGAGTAACCGCAGTAGCCCCCCAAACGTGATTGATCTCAACAAGCGGCCGCAATGCAAGTTCACACGGTAAAGTTTCTAGTATGATTAGGGCTTTATATAGGGGTTCAGGGTTTCTGAAAAACTGGACATACTATCCCCTTGCCCAGTCCCTGTGGAGTTATACCAAACGATGCACCAAAGCCCTATTCTACTCCACCTATCATAGAGGCCCCGGTATTTGCAATCCTCGAAAACACGCAGGCGAGGACGTGATCTCGCAGGGTGAGGAGGGAGACTATTTCTACATTGCTGCTTGGATCACGAGGATTGAGTAGGAACGACGGCTCCGGTTTGCGGTTGCTCAGGGATATTGTCTCCACATCCAGGTGTTGTTGCAGCCAGGATTTGCTCTTGCTGGTGCTGCGACGAAGGTTCCTTCTCAATCGCGGCTTATTGGACAGTCGGGAGGATGAGAGCCTTTCTAGTCGTTTTGGACTGAAGGTTGCGTAGGGTGCTTGCCGATGTAATACCCTGAACCCTGAGCCCCTTAGGTGCACAAGCCATCGAAGCCTCCCGCTGACGGCCATTGGATTCCAGCGCAAGCAAAAACAAAACAACACTCAATAGGTCCTATCCATAACCTGACTGCTTGCGAAGACTAGCCCGAACAAACAGCCTGCTGCCGCCTGATCCTTCAAGCCTTCAACCCCAGGTGCCATTTTCAGTTTTCAGGGTTCGGGGCTTCATTGCATTTCCTGAAATGCCGTCGGATTCAGGAACCTTACTTGGAGCTCTCTATAATCTTGACAACATTGCCCTGAAACCTCTAGATCCCTCAACCCTCGAGCCGCGAAAACCCGAGCCCCCCGCCTCAGCTCTCAGTTCTCTGAGCGACAGTATGCCCGGAAGCATCTCCGCGTCAGGTAAAGCGCGGGCAGTTTGACATCTTCGTGAAGAAGGGGGAGGATCCCCCGAAGAAGGCCCGGGGAAGCGGGTCTTTCAGGGCGTGATTTTGGGAGCCTGCAGCCACGTTGCAGGGACGTGTTTCGCCGGAAGACTGTGGATTCAAACCCTGACGAGATGTGCTTGTGTTAAGTTTAGAACCCTGATCAGGAGCAGAGTTGTTTTAAACGAGACTTCTAGATAAGCCCTTTCAATCATAGGTACCTGACCCTTAAGCAAGCTCATAAGCACCACAAGCCCCCAAACCCCAAACCCTAAACGCCCGAGGGAAAAAAACGCCCTTAACCAGCACTGCTCTGCTTTCACTGCCCGGACGATTCCGCAATCCCCGGCCGGCAACCGAAAGCCTGAACCATGGAACCCCAGACCCTCTCCCATTTGGCTGAAGCCGTTCTGCTATTCAAGAAGCATCCTCGTTGCAACGTAGTTCTGCGCGCAAATCACAACATGGCCAAGCTTGGTGTGTTTGCGGCGCTTCTTTTTACCTCGGCAGTGACTGTCGCAGCGGACCTCAGCAGCAACGTCCTCCGCACACGCACGCCCGAGCCGCAGGCCAGCTCGGAACCTCTGGTGGTACGCCTCCAGCGTGTGGAAGGCTTGCACAGCTCTCATTTCTACGTCGGAAGGTTGGCACTGGGGCAGCCGAAGCCGCAGGAGCTTCAGGTCCTTTTCGACACAGCATCGGGCCACTTGCTCGTTCCCCACTCCGCCTGCGAAAGCCAAGCCTGCAGGAAGCACAAGCGCTACTCGCCCTTCCGCTCCGCCACCGCCGTGGACGTCAACGCCAACGGCCAGCGCGTGAAGGAGAGGGAGCGCCTCGTTCGCGGGAGGACCAAGAGGGACGCGGTGATGGTGGAGTTCACACAGGCCGACCTTGGCGAAGGTGCAGCCCGGGCCGTCCTCGTGCACGACGACGTCTGCCTGGGGACGGAGTTCGGTCATCAGGTCTGCACGAACCTCGACATTATGGCCGCCGTGAACATGGATGACGAACTATTCGATGCTATGCCTTACGATGGAATGCTTGGCTTGAGCCTTGCAGGCCTTTCCACGCAAAGCGGCTGCGTCTTCTTCCAGCGGCTGATGGAAACGAACCCCTCGATGTTGCCGCAGTTCGGGCTGTCCTTCGGGGCCCAGTCGGGGGAGATCTACTTCGGGGGGCACAACTCTGCGCGTTTGGCAGGGGAGCTGAAGTGGTTCTCCGTGCTGCACCCCGAGGACGGCTTCTGGGAGGTGGCGATCCAACGCGTCTGCCTGGGAAACATGACGGTGGACTCTTGCCAGGAGGGCTGCCGAGGCATCATCGATACGGGCTCTTCACGGCTCGGTGTTCAGCAGAACAACTTCGAAGCTCTCCGGGCAGCTTTGTCCCATGCCGTGCCTTTGGTCGGCGGCGGCTGCCAGGGCTCCGATTTGGAGTTCGACCTCGGAGCGATGACGCTGAAGCTCCGGGTGGAAGACTACGTCACCGGCTCGGACTGTGAGCCTCAGCTCGGCTCCTTGGACTTGGATGCCAAGGACTTCCACGGCGTCTTTGCCTTTGGTGAGACGGTCCTCCGCCGGTACTACACCGCCTTCGACTGGCAGGAGAAGCGCATTGGCTTTGCTCCGGTGGCTCAGCGCCGTGTGCCGCTCGGGAAAGCCGGCACCGGCACCGTGCCTGTCTTCACAGTCTAAGGTAGAAGCCTGAATAGCTACTAAGTATCGTCTAACGTTATTCCGTAGGGTTCCTTACTATACATATACGAGGGCCTGTCGTGCCTTTCATCCTGTGTTCTCTCTACTGCGGGCTTAGACTTGAAGAGGTCCACTGGCACTGCAGAAGAAGATCTTCGATTCCTCTGCAGCATGCTTGTGTGACATTGAACCTCACGGGCGCAGGCAGAAAAAGCTCTGATTCGTGAATGTCTGGTCGTGCTGATGTGCTTGGCTGGGGCTAGTGTGCCTTCAACATTCTACACACATACATATAGATTGATAGATAGCTATACACACAGATAGATATACATAGCAACATGTATGTACAAGTATCTATATGTCTAGTTATAGGTATAGATATAGATATAAATAAGTGTTTACGTATACATAAAATAGATATATGCATATATGCACATGTACATTACAAGACACACACACATATGTATGTGTGTATCTATATATATATATATACACACACACATAAAGAGTACGCACACACAGACATCCCGCTCCGACTGGAGGTCTTCCAGTGTGGGCCGGGCTTCGCCTTCGGTGAGATGGCCCTGCTGTACACCTGCCCTCGAACCGCCACCATCACCGCCCAGGAGCCCTTTCTCAGGGATTTGTAGAAGGGTTCCCGTAAGGGTTCTAGATTCCTAGTGAGTTGTTAGGATTTGGGATTTGCGGTTTATAGCTCCAGGGTTTTCGGCTTAGGGTTTGAATTTCCAAAGGGCAAGAGGGGTCTACAAGGGATACTAGGATTACCAGAATGTTCTACAAGATTTGGTGGGTTTTACCCTAAACCCTAAACCATTAAGGTTCAGGAATCCCGGTTCGGAGCAGATCCTGAGCCTTGAGCCCCCTGCAACACCCAGCGCTGACCTAAGTCCTTCTAGAATCCTCAGAATCCGCGGTTTGGAGTTTAGGGTTTATTCAGCTTTTGTGCATTCATTGTTTTTCGCATTCAGGGCTTTCGGGCCTATTTTATTAGGGTTTTGGCTGAGGCGCTTTAGGTTTATGACTTGGGCTTTTGTTGGGGTCTGTTGGTTGACAGCCACTCCTCGTGGCCAGGGCCGGCTAGCGGCTAGAGTTTATGTAGAGGTCAGAACAATTGGTCATCACGCGCCCTTTCATCCCTGAAAAAGGATTATGCCTACACAGCCCAGTTGAATCTCTCCGGCCCCTATACTTCACTCCCAACCCTTAAACCCTAGACCTGTATGGAAGCCTGAAAGGAACAGAATAGGAATGATACCAATTGAAGCAATAAGAAGAAAAACAAGTAATGGCAGTAACCCTGATGACGAGGATGAGTCGGAGGTTTGGAGCTTGGACCGCACGGCCTTTCGGAACCTCGTCGTCCGCAGTGCGGAAGCTCAGTTCAAGGCCGTTCCGTGGTTTGAGAGCTTTGGGGTGTTCGGCTTTAGGGTTTGGGGCTTTGGGGTTTGGGGGTTGAGGATTTGATCTGCAAAAGTTTCAAGTTTTCAGTAGCGCTCGCACTCTTCTCAAATGTGGATGATAAAGGCTGTCAGCATAAGCGGCCAAGACTTCAGAAGAGACGAAGACAGTACTACAGAGCTCCTAATCGTTTCCCTTCACGGTCCCTTTGCAACCATAGAAACATGTATCCCGAAGCCTTCTTCTAGTTACCAGTTATAAGAACCCCATACACTACAAGGAAAGGCGCCACCATGCAAGAAAGCTTTAAACCCTGAGCCCGGATAACCTGACCATGGCTTCTCTGGAGGAGTCCTGCAGCTTCCTGAACTCTTGCGACATCTTTGCCACTTTGACCCAGGAGCTGGGGCTCATGACGTCTACCGGGTTCTTGTTAAAAGGTTTTTCTATTTACGTTTCCATAATGGGGGGGGTCTTTAGTAAATAATATGGCTTCTTTATGATGGGCAACTTAAATAAGACCCCCTAACAAGAACCCAGTCTAGGTTTTTTTTGTGGGGTTTTGAAAGTCAAGGGGCTTGGAGTCCAAGGAGTGAATCGGTTGAGGGTTTGGCAGCGTTTTGGTTTCTCAGCAGCCCCGCGGCGCCATCCGGTCTTATCAGGCTTGCTCTGCTGGTCGGCATAGATTGTCTTTGACCATGAAGACTTCATAGGGGCCTTGGAGGTTCCGAGTGGACAAACCTGACCTCAGCTAAGCCGCGAGTCCATCGGTCCTGCGTCACCAGGACCAGATCTGCTCTCTTGCGGAAGTGCTGGAGGAGGAGGACCCAGAGCGTCGGTGTTTTCAGGGCCTCCACTTTGCCTTCCAAGAGTCATAGGTATTATAGGGGCTCAAGGTCAATACAGTGTCTTACCCAAACCTAGGACGGAATGCTGATTTCATTGTATTGTCAATGTCTGCATTGATCCGTTACATTCAGCATCATTTGGATTTCATCTGCTACCAACATGCTTGACATCATCATCATCGTCATCACCATCATCTTCACCGTGCTGCTTGGAGTCTCCGTGATTATAGATAGTACCGGTATTGTCAAGCCTTCTGTGGTCTAGTCTGGGTATTTGAGACAGCTATACTGTAGGACTGTAGGATAGAAGCCCTCGCCTCAAACCCTGAAAGTTATCAATGCTATGCAGGACCCCTAAACCCCGCACCTGCATGCCCCAAACCCGTATCACTATTTTGGACTGCAAGCTGCGCAGGCCTTTGTGCAATAAATGTATTTGGGAACCGTAAAGAAAAAATGGCTGTTAAGCCCGTCCGAAGCCCCAACTGGCCCCAACCCGTACATCCTACCCACC